TATTGTACCTTTTTTGAATCGTTCCTGTATGGAAGAAAAAGCACAAGTTAGATGCTGAGTGAAATCAGATACGTCGAAGATCGCTTTGGTGTAGTAGTCCCTCCACCAAGTATCAAATTCTTGTGTGCAAAAGATTGAGAGTCGAAAAGAGATGAGGGTAAGGGTGGTAACATTGGCATATCAAGAAAGATGTTTGTTACATTCATCCTCAAGAAACCATATGTTATAAAGACAAAGAACACTCTTTTTGTCATAAAGTGGTTTAGGTATTGACTGAATAAGGCCAAATTGTCGAGATACCAAATTGGGATGGTAACTGACCAAAATAATTTAATTCTTCAAATGCCTCAGTCTAGTGGCGAGCAGCCTAGGGTGAGAAATGATTCACATATGGCCATGGACTCTTCTTTTTGGTCTGTCGAAGGAGCGGGGAATTCCCTTATGAAATATTCAGGACCATGTGTTCTTTGGGTAAAATGAGCCATGGAAGGAGTAAAGTTGTATCGTTTGGCGAACATCATCATAAAGCCAGTGAAGGAATCTTGTAGAATTGATTCTTCGCCACTTGAGGTTAACTGGACCAATCTTATCCCTTTGACCCTCCTATTATTTATTACCTCATCATTTTCATTGATAATGTTGTGTGTTGGGAGTGAAGGCTCGAAGGTGGAATTCAACCACAGTTGGAGTAGCCAAAATGGACCAACAAATAGGGTGTTTGTCCCTATCTTGTAAGTCTTTTGGATTTCGAAAGATTATCCTAAAGACTCATAAAGAAAACCCAGGATTATTTGGCTCAAGCACAAATTGTACCCAGCGTTTAGTTGGTTCTCCATGGTTAGAAATCTTTTTGCAACTTGGAGAGATCTCGAACAAAAGACATGACGCGATAGCCATAGTGCAAGAAAGGCAATGTGTTCCTTGTCGGAAACTTCCTTCATTGCTTTCTCATAATGATCAGATATATAATGGGTGAAAGTGGCTTTGTTACCTTTGAAGTTGATATCATCTTCGTCCATCTCAAATGGATCGAAAGTTTCTCCAGTGGGTCGAAGGTCAGTAATTGCAGCAATATCAAAAAGAGTGGGAGTCATCATTCCACAAGGGAAATGGAAGGTATTGCGAGAGGCGTCCCAGAAGTATATCGAAGCTACTAACATGTTTTGGTTGTACCCTGGGCCAGATTTCAACCATTGAACCATGTCATAAATCTCCATTTCTTTATAGAATTGGCCTTTCTTCTTCTCGACTTTAGAAATCCAAAAGAGGTATGGCTCAGCGTCTTTCACCAAGGGGCAAGAGCGAAACAATCTAAGAGTGTTTCTCATATAATCTAGATTGATGGGGTTGTCTGGTTTCGAAGTATCAATCGAGGACTTTGCTTGATCATCTACAGGTTTTTGGGTATCAAGTTTAACGCTACCTTTTTCATCAATTTTCTTCTTGCTAGCTAAGGGTTGGTGCAATGATAAATAGGAAAAAAACTCTTTGAGTTTTTCATCAGCATTAAGGCCAAGCAAAAGGCCCATGTGTGCATGATTTTCATCAGATATAGTTAGAGGAATGAGTATCTGAGACTGATAAATTTTACGTTTCTCTTCAAGAAGAGGGGGCTCGGAAACATACTCCTGATTTCCTACTAGTGATGGCTTTACGATCTGGGTGATGGGCGTTGAAACTTCTTTCTTTTTAGCATCCTTGTTGTTCCTGGGTGCCATTGTTGAATTCGAAGTTTTGAAGATGTAGAGTTTTTGTTTTCCGAAGAAGAAGAGACAAATATTTTCTAAAGCTCAAAGGTTGGAAAGTTGTGAAAGATGAAGGAGCATGGTATTTATAGGAAAAGAGAAAATCTTTCAAGTTTTCATTGGAATGAAAAATGGAAAGTTAGCGGGGCCCGAGTGTGTTTTTGAGTGGTTGGGCAATCAATTACCTATATAGTTAACACCATGTTCCTATATTTTAGGGGTAATGATTTTCTACATCAATGCACGTCTCGATGAGACGTTTAGAAAAAATGGTCATCATGACCATGACACCACAGTAGTAAGTACTGTCGCGTCAAAATTTTTAAAAATTAGTCCTTTTTTCTTTGATGAAAAAGAAGAATTTTATGGGGTAATTTGTTAGCTGTAAATTCGAAGCTCAAAAAGAATAAGAAAATTCTATAGGGTTATTGAGGAAAATATTTGAAGTAAACAAACTTCATTCGACGAAGAAGTTGGACGGTATTTTGACCAAAGCTTGGAAGAGAAGTTTCAAAGTGGCGAAATGGCGCAACGATGGGACCTAAAGTTTTTGAAATGGTTCGAAGTAAAGTCCGACAAAAAGAATATGAAATTAGGCTAATAAGTGAATTTTTGCCTTATCCGTTCTTTGAAATATAACACATGGAAGCCTGCGAAAGGCAAAGCGCGTGCAAGCAAGAACGTGCCAACTTTTAAAGAGAAGACCGTTCATAACCGTTACTATCGAAGTAGTATAAATAGGAATCTTAGCATTAGGATTTGGCGTTCACATTGTACTAAAACTCACAAATTCTCGAAGTATCTAACTGTTGTTAAGAAAAGAGTTGTCTGAGAAATGTGTGTATGAATCATTTTGTTTTTATTCAATACCAAATTACTTATTTAAATATCATTTTCATTTCTTTACATTTCCTGTTGAAATCTGTTTTTTTTTTTGCATTGTTTATCAATCATTTCCGCATTACTTTTAAAGTTCCAATTTCCATGGAAGTAACTATCATCAAGAGGGATTATGAAATTATATGCACATGTCCTAGGATCAATCTAGTTGATCCTGTAAGTAACCAAAACAATAGAAATCAAATTTATCTTAAGATCAGGTACATACCTGCCATTAGTAAACAACTTTGTTGACTCATCACGGAGCTTAAATATCATAGATCCAATACCTACAATTTTATAGACTTTGTTGCTTCCTAGCATCACTCATCCACCATCTTGATCACATAATTCCTCAAAAACGTATTTGTTTGGAGTCATGTGTCAAGTACAACATGAATCCATAATCCACTCCTTGCTAGAGTTGTCGCTTAAAACTACAAGAACATCTGATGATTCATTATCATCTTGCATAATGGTTGCGTTGTTATTATCCTTATCTTCATGGTTATTCAAATGTTCAGAGCACACTTTCCTTGTGTGACCCTCCTTCTTACAGTGGTAACACCTAATTGAAGGAGCATCACCAACATAAGACTTATGCTGACTTTTATCCTTCTTCTTCTCAAACCTACCATCTTTGTTTGAGAATTTTCCTTTAACATACAATTCTTCACCAACAGACGATGGTTTGTGCTCCTTTCATTCGTTCAAATCCTTAGAGTAGAAGGTTGATTGAACTTCTTCCAAGGTCAGGGACTCTCTTCCATACAGGAGAGTTTCTTTGAAATGAGCATAAGATTTTGGTAACACACACAACAACAGTAGTGCTTGATCTTCATCATTGTTGATAACATCAATATTCTCCAGATCAAGGATCAGCTTGTTGAACATACACAACTGCTTCATCAAGACTTTGTCTTCACTTATCTTGAATGAATACAAAGCTTGTTTCAGGTAGAGGCGATTTACCAAGGATTTGGACATGTACAAACCTTTAAGTTTTAACCACACACCAGCGGTGATTTTCTCCTTCGAGACTTGCCATAGAACCTTATCACCAAGCCTCAATATGATGGTACTGCGAGCTTTCTCGATCATCGTCTCCTTCTCCGTTAGGGTAGCATCCATGACTTAGGCTCCCTTCAATGCTTCTAAAAAAATCATGTTGAACATATCCAACTGCTCCATAAAGACTTTGTCTTCACTTATCTTGAATGAATACAAAGCTTGTTTCAGGTAGAGGTGATTTACCAAGGATTTGGTCATGTACAAACCTTCAAGTTTTAACCACACACCAGCGGTGGTTTTCTCCTTCGAGACTTTCCAGAGAACCTTATCACCAAGCCTCAATATGATGGTATTGTGAGATTTCTCTATCATCATCTCCTTCTCCTTCTTCGTTAGGGTAGCATCCATGGCTTAGGCTCCCTTAAAAGCTTCTAAAAAATCCCGTTGAACAAGAAGGTCTTGCATCTTCAAGCGTCATAATCTAAAAACATTAACTCTGGTGAATTTCTCAATATCAAACTTCGTTGAAGGCACCTTGATCCATGCTCAACGCACCAGTAATAAAGCAATGATGTGGGAAAGAGAGGTTTTCTTGAACAAACACAAGAAATTGATTCAGTTATGGAGAGAGAGAGAGAGAGAGAGGAGAGAGAGAGAGAGAGAGAGAGAGAGAGAGAGAGAGAGAGAGAGAGAGAGAGAGAGAGAGAGAGAGAGAGAGAGAGAGAGAGAGAGAGAGAGAGAGAGAGAGAGAGAGAGAGAGAGAGAGAGAGAGAGAGAGAGAAGAAGAAGAAGAAGAAGAAGAAGAAGAAGAAGAAGAAGAAAGAAGAAGAAGAAGAAGAAGACAAAGATGATTATAACAGTTTTTTATTTACTTACTCCAAATTAGAATTTTCAGATTATAAGTGAATAACAACTTTTAACCACTACTCTAACACACTAGAGTACAACCTATTTATAGACTCATAGTATTATATGTCATGTATGATGATGGCACCCATACAAGACATACATAACTATTACATAACAAAGTACATAACTAACTTAAGTCATTTGTATGTTTGAATTGACTTTCACTACAACATGCACATTCTTCGATTACTACATTCTTGAACTAACTTCAACTACAACATACACATCTCAGTCGAACCATGAAACTTCTCTTGTGGAGACTAAAAATCGAATTAAAATACTACATGTATCAATTAGAATCAATTCTAACTATCGTATATAACTCATACAAATATAAATATACTCTAGTGTAATCTCATTAGACACAAAACATTATACAAAAAATTACTCTTTCAATCCATACAATAAGTTGAATAAAGTTTTCTTTAGTTACTCCACTATCGCAATACAATGGAACTAGAGATCTTGGAATGAGATTGGCATGAAAGCTCCATGAAATCCATATGGAACTCTACAAGGCAATTCAATTTTGGCAACTGTCTGAGCACAGAAATTCTTTGTATCAATTATATGAACCTAAAAAAATTGAATAGAAGAAAATTAGTAAATGTGTTGATAAATGTTATAATTAGTAATAATTGGAATTTGCAAGAATACAAACTACTAAACCTACTTGAGATTTGTTAGTATCTTCATTATGAACAAAAGTAATGATCCAACCATCATCTTCTTCAACACCTCCATCTCTACCCACAAAGGCTGCTCCATTGCAATATGTATTCTTCTCAAACATATGATATTCCATCTTTATACCTTCATCTTTTACCATTGACATAGAAAACTCTTCACATGATTCTTCTAAGTATAGCTTAGCTAAACCTCCATATTTTGGCACATCTAAATAACGCAACAACAAAACCATGTCATTTAGGAAATATGAAAGAATAAAATTAAGTTATTCTCTAAGGTTAATTACCTTGAGTGGTGGAGTTTGCAGTTGGATCAACTACTTGTGTGTAAGCATATTTATGCTTAATACCAACAAAGTTTTCATTGATCATAGGAAAATCCATGTAAACTACTTTCTCACCACATAGATCTTTCTCCTTAACCTCTCCGGTTTTCATATTCAATCGCCATTCGTAACCACGAGATAACCATTCATAGTCATTCGAATTCGGGTTGGGTTCAGGAATTAAAGAATCAAGTGATCTGCATCCCCTAACTACAACCTGTTTATCAACAAAATTAAAAATTCCTTCAAAATTTTCTATGATAAGCACTCAAATAAGTTGCTTATCTAAAATAAAGAATCTTTAAAATATATATTACTTAAGCATAAGAACTTGCCTCATCTCCATCTTCAAAAGAATTGATAATGTGAAAGGTGCAATTAGGTTCCACCTCAAACCATTTGATTGAGTCGGAGTTACCGTAGCGCGGCATTATTCCAATCCTTGCATATTCTTTCTTATCATACTTTATTAACCTACATTGCAACAAGTGATTCTAACTTCTAAGTCAGAAGAACTTTTCTATGCCGTTTATCATGAAATAACTTGAATGCATTCAATTCATATGAACTCACTGGCCTCCTCTTAGAAGTCTGATAAGATCAATGGTTAGTGGAAAATCCATGATCACATTGTACCTGCAAAAACAAAATCACATGAAAACATATTCTACAATGCAATTTTGATTTCTTGTTTTGCAAGAAAGCTTAATAGTCTATAATGCTTGCTACCTTTGTGTAACACCTATGTCATGGCAAAGACTACACCTGTTTAGTTTGATATCAACTTTATGAACCAACTTCTTTCCATCAGCTAAAAAAAAAGAGTAGAAAAAAATTCCAGTGATTAATAAAGAAACTAATTTTGTTCTTTTTTTTCTTTTACAAAGATCAAGAGCATACCGGAAATAACTCCAACCACGGCGAAAGGTTTAATTGGTTCCACGCCTAATGTTACTAACTCTCCTGTAATTGGAGCTTTCTGTGATGATAACTTGTGAGTAAAGAAACGATATTGTAGAATGATAAAAGTGTTGATTTCAAGTATAATAATAGGGAATCAAAAACCTTTGGATGACTCGTAAAAGGTCGATTCCAAGCTGCACCTAGTTCCCAGTTGTTCAAAGTTTTCAAGGAAAATATATCAATCTCTTGTGGCATGTGACTTTCAGCAACTGAGTAAAACTTTCCTGAATGCTCAAACACATTGGTGTTGCTAATGTATTTGTTTGCTTTTCCAGATCTCAACCAGTTGAAGAGATAAGCAAACAAAACGGCGAGTGAATTGCCTTCAATGGCTGGAAGAAACAATGGTTTGTTTCTATGTTTTTCAAGGTTGTATGTTTCGGTTTCGACGTGTTTGTTGTTGTAGGTAACATTCCAGGTTCCATGACTTGACTTTTGAAAATACATTGCATGAAGCATTCCTTCTCCTTCCACCCAAATGTGACTTGACTTACCAAATATTGAATTTGTTGATTTCAATCCTCCGAAAAGGGGATTCGGTCCTGCACATTATACATATCTGATTATCAAAGCCGTCCCACGGACTAAAATTTGTCACATGTTTGTCACGATTAAACCGTGATTAAACAGGATCTCGTAAAATGTTTACCACAAACTGTGATTAAATAGGTCTTATATTTATTTGATCATAATTAAATTGCGACTAATCTATTCAGAGCCTCCAAAAACTTGAGGCAGCTCTATACAATAATTAATCAAATAGTTCGGTCAATTGTGCATACGCCTGAGACAACATATATGTATATATAAAGTTTAAAGGATTAATCGCACCATTTCTAATGTAAACGCCCTCCGGAAAATCACTTGGAATTCGTCCTTGAATGCTATTCACAAGTAAGGCTTCCCCTAACTCTTCCACAGGAGCAAAGTTACTCTGAAGCACATTCAACAAGTAATTAATTAATCCAGCATATTATTTGGATGCAAGAAAGAAGAAGAGTATTAACATATATACCTTAGATGGAAGCAATGGTTTATCAATGAATTCAAAGAATGAATCAACAAACACATCAACTAATTTTGCTATACTATTTTTCATACTTTTGAGAACATCAATTTGCAAGGAGACTTGAGGTAGAGTTGATTTCATGTTAGACAAGAGTGGAAAATTATTATGGTGATGAGAATTTTCTGACACATAAGAAGGTCTTTTCTGAATGGAACATTTTACTATAAATGCATTATTATTACTATATGAAATAGCCATAACCATATACTTGGTTTAATTAACAAATTGGTGTATCTATATATAGTATGGTGTCGAGTCATCAAAATTGGTTTTATAAATGCATTATTTTCATGTTACATATAAAAAAGAGACGCATCTCTATGTACTGGAAGTTAAAATCCGGTTTTTGGCGTATTTGGAGCTTTCTACACATTCGAATATTCCTCTTTGTTAAGCAATTATTTTGTTTTTTCGCTAAACAAAGTGAAATGCATTAACTAACAAGACATAAGCTATGCACTAAAAAGTTTACAAGATCAATAAATCATCCAAGATCAAGTTGGTATTAATAAACAAAGAACCTAAAACTAAAGTGAATGTTCGAAACATCAATTTGGGGTCAACACGAGAGAGCATTCACGTTGGAACTTTTTTTTTTAAGTAACACGCATTTGTGAGAGACACATAAGATACTCACCCAAAACTTTAAGGTAATAGGCATGTGGATTCCTCACTTATAAATGCTGAAATCTCCACTTTTCTAATTAATGTGGGACTTCCCCACACTTCGTTTCTAAACACTTTCAATTCACATTTGTTTTTCTCAACACTCCCTCTCAAGCGTGACTCTATCCACAGTGCTCTCCCTCCAGCGGTATTCGAAGTTGTAATTCAATATTTGGTGAAAAGCTAGTATTCGACTATGTTGAAGTAGTCAGTCGAAGTAGTAAGAGTCGGTTGTATTCAACTGAGTCAGATACATCATTTAGTTGTTGTGTCGAAGTCAAAATATAACTGATATGTTTTACGTTTGGGTTGTAAGTTTTGAGCTAGAGCCTTGATTGCCTATAGATAGACATGCTATTATAGTAGTTTTGTACAACTACACACTTAACAACAATATATAAATTTTAAAATATAGTTTTATCTCTTTTCTCTCTTCTTCTTTTTCTCTCATCTTTTTTGAAAATCCTTTTTGTTCCAACAAATTGGTATCAGGGAGCCCTGATTGCGATTCAGAAAAAATCTGCAATGGCAAATGGAACAACAACATCAAACGCAATTTCTAACAAATCTACCGATTTTCAAAGGTGAGAACTACGAGACGTGGGTTATGCAAATGAAGATCATCTTCAGATTTCAAGATGTGTCTGAAATCGTGAATGATGGAGTACCGACATTGGAAGTGAATACAGATGATGTTTAAAAGATTATGCACAAGGATCAAGGCAAGAAAGATGGAAAATTTATGTTCTTGATTCACTAGTGTGTGGATCCTAATGTGTTCGAGAAGATAATTGAAGAGGGAACAACCAAAGAAGTGTGGGACAATTTGAAGAATTTGTACGGCGAAGATGAAAAATGAAGAGAGTGAAGTTACAAACGTTGAGAAAGAAATTCGAGATGACTCAGATGAAGGCAGATGAATCAGTCTCGGAATACTTTTCAGGTGTGGTGTTGTTGACAAACCAGGTGAAAGCGCATAGTGAATCAATCGGCGTTTTGTAGAAGATTGAGAAAGTTATGAGATCTCTGACTGCAAATTTTTATTACATTGTTGTGTCCATTGAAGAGTCCAAGAACCTAGCTGATATGAAATTGGAAGAAATTCAAGCTTCACTAGAGGCTCATGAGATAAGACTGAAGGAGAGAAACTCAAAAAAGGAGAGGTGGCTGAATAGGCACTGCAAGCATGATTCACCAAGAAATCTGAGAAAGATAAGGTGAAATAAGGATAACATCTTGCTAATGATGAGAAGTCAAGCAAGAAGTCAAAGAATCACTCTGAAGAAAGTTGGCATGAAGGAGGTGTAGTGTTACAAATGTCAAGGATTCAACCACTATGCTTGAGATTGTCGAAGAAATAAGGAAGCACGAGAAAAAGATAGTGATGAAGTGAAGTATGCACATGGTAGAGATAGTGATTCTAATGATGTTTTTCTCATGGTCAACACTCAGTCGAACACTCTGATGTCTCAATTGTCTTGTTGCACAGTGATGACCAATGGATCAACATCAGAAGTGTTGATGTTGAGTGTGTCCTCCTCAGAGAAGATGATGTTAACCCCCACTTTCCCTTGGGAGCTTTTGGGGAAGCCAGGTGATATTACATTCGCCGCAAGCACCTACTTGGCGTATTTCCTCTAGGAAGTCTAGAGTTACCTCCACTAGCAAAACCTTCGGCTATGGTATTTGTGTTGCATACTATGGTTTTATCGGTCATCTTCTGAGAAAAAATGGAAGGATTTAGAGTATGAGTGTGGCCCAGGTTAGTTTTACCAGACCCACGAAGGGTGCCACTATACTGGTCCAAAAGTACAAGTATATGTGTTCTCCCTACAAGGGTTGGAAGACTCAGAGGTCTTAGTATGTATATTACGGTTTATGGTGGTTAAGACTTGCCCATGACGACGAGAAACTCTGTACAGTGGTGTTTTATGGTGGTTTAGGAGTCCTGCTCACATAAAGTGAGAGGCTATGTAGATGGTGATATGCTTATAATACATAAGCCGATGTGGGGTGCGATCAATGTGTTATGATCAAACACTATACTTTTAGGGTGTAATGAATTGTATGATTTAAGATTTGTCTTCTCCCCTTGAGAGGATATGTATTTATAGAAACCTATAGAGCTCATGATTTTCTTGGAAAGAGTCACCACCCACTCAGTCAATAATGAACCATTGAATACCTATTTTTCAAAAAGTCGAGGATCACTTATAGACCCCGACTTCTCTCTGTTCTAAAAATGTCTTATCTCACGTTTCTTATGACTAACTAATAGCAAAGTCCAGAGGCGAGGCATTACCTCCTTTAAACGACACTCCAACGTCACCTCAAGAGGCAGTCGAAAGACTTCGCCCTAGACGAGGCTCTTTACAATTACAACACTACAACTTTAATAAATTTCATTTAGTCACTTAATGTTCTATAGTGTAATTATATTCTTGCTTCCATCCCAACTGTTATATGCTTAATTTAACGCACAAGACGCGCAATTTTTACTCACTCACAACACATGAAAGATACAACACACGAAAGATACAACACATAATTAAACGCACAAGACACCAGAATTAAATTACTAATCAACACATGGAATAATATTTAGAATTTTATTTACAACAAAAACCTAAAGAATGTACACATCAATGTTAGAACAAGCACAAAACCTTGTGTGTGAATCAATGGAGATGATGGATAATTTTGGTGAAATTAGAGGATTGGGGAAGATCAAGTTTAGAGAGAATAGAGATTAATTGAGAGGGTAAAAAATCATATGGCATTAATTCCATTCAACATGTTACAAAATGTATATATAGTGTCTGCTAACACTAAACAAAGTAACAAAACAAAAGCTAAACAAAACAGCCTAAAAACAGAAATAATTTTTTCGGTTTTTCCTGCAGCATACTGGCAGCTTTTCCAAAATAGCTTCTCAAATAAGCTATTCTCCAAAAACACTTCAAAACCAATTACACTGCATTTGACTTATTCTAATCATTCAACACACCACCTTAAGTCAAATGCTCAATGTTCTTCATGCCCAACCTCACCACGAGTCGCTTGAAAACATCATTCGTAACCGCTTTCGTCAACAAGTCCGCGACCTGTTCTTCACTTCTGCAGTAGCTCAAACGTAACTGTCCAGAACTTACTAAATCTCTCAAGTAATGGAATCTCATCTCAATATGCTTTCTCCTCCCATGTGCTATGGGATTCTTAGCAAGGTTGATGGCTGAAACATTGTCCACCAACAGCAGAACAGCTCCTCTCGTGTTGCTGTCCAGCTCACGCAGCAGGTTCACTAGCCACACAGCTTGGCATGCACATAACGAAGCTGCGATATACTCCGCCTCACAAGAAGAGAGAGCAACCAGCGGCTCCTTTTTAGAACACCAAGAGATTGGTGCTCCTCCGAACATAAAAACATAACCGGCCGTTGATTTCCGATCGTCCTTATCTCCGCATCAATTGGAGTCGGTGTATCCGAGTAATTCGCAACTTTTGCCCATGTCACTTGCAGGAAATAAAATCCCACAGCCAAGAGTACCTTTCACATATCTAAGGATCCTCTTAACCGCTGCCAAGTGTGATACCTTCGGCCTCTCCATGAACCTACTTGCAATACCGACACTAAACGCTAAATTTGGCCGCGTATTGCACAAGTAACGCAATGATCCTATCAATCTCCGGTATTGAGTAGGATCCACATCTTGCTCATCTTCACTCTTGGACAGCTGTAAACGTGCCTCGGCTGGTGTTGTGGCAGCATTACAATGCTCCATATCACACCTCTTCAAAATCTCCATTGCATACCTTCTTTGATGCATGAGCAGTCCCAACTTTGTTTTTTGGAACTCTATGCCTAAGAAGTATTTCATAGAGCCAAGATCACTCATTTCAAACTCCCCCATAAGCTCTTCTTTGAACTTTGAAATGTACTTTTCACAACTGCCCGTAATCAACAAATCGTCCACATAAAGACAAAGTATGATTACTCCTTTGCTTTTATCCGACTTCACATACACACCGTGTTCGGATACGCACTTCTTGAAACCAATGTTGATAAGAAAAACATCTATGCGTTTGTTCCAAGCTCTTGGAGCTTGTTTCAAACCATAGAGTGCCTTCCTTAATTTGTAGACCCTTTCCTCTTGATTTTGTATCACAAAACCAGGTGGCTGTCCAACATACACTTCCTCATCCAATGGACCATTCAAAAACGCCGATTTGACGTCCATTTGATATAACGACCAGCTGTTGTTATTTGCAATCGCAACAACTAACCGGATGGTTTCATGCCTTGCAACCGGTGCGAATACCTCATCAAAGTCTATGCCTTCTTTTTGCAAAAATCCCTTTGCTACCAATCGAGCCTTATGCTTGATTATCTCGCCTTTCGGATTTGCTTTTACTTTGTAGACCCATTTCACACCAATCGCCTTTTTACCTTTCGGTAAATCAACCAACACCCAAGTATTGTTCTTCTCAATCGATTTCAACTCTTCCTTCATTGCACACATCCATTTTGGATCGCTTAATGCCTCCTCCGTATTTACCGGTTCGGATTCGGCCATTAAAGCGAAATGAATAAGATCACCATCATTGTTGATCTCACTATCTCGGAACAGTTCACAATCTCGGAGTCTTTGAGGCATACCTCTATGCCTTGTTGGTCTACCCTCATTCACAACATTGTTTTCAGCTGCTGTAGGTGCTGGTACAGCGGCATCAGACAACTCCGGATCAGAGATTTCAAAAAACTGTTGCTGCTGTTTCTGCACTTTTGATTTCATCAAAAGTCACGTCCCGGCTTATCACGATCTTCCGATTCTTCTCATCAAACAGCTTGTAACCACCAGTAGAGTGATATCCAACAAATATCAACTTCTCACCTTTATCATCCAACTTCTTTCTAAGTTGATTTGGTACATGACGATATGCAATCGATCCAAAAACACGCAAATGAACCACACTCGGTTTGAAACCACTCCAAACCTCTTCCGTTGTGATTTTCTCCAGCTTCTTAGTAGGACACCTATTCAACAAGTAGGTGGCTGTAGATACGGCCTCACCCCACAATTCTTTAGGTAACTTCTTCCCACAAAGCATGCTACGCACCATGTTCATTATTGTACGATTTTTCCTCTCGGCAGCCCCGTTTTGTTGAGGCGTATATGGAGGCACCACCTCACGCACAATACCCTCAAGATCACAAAACTTCCCAAATTCACTAGAGGTATATTCACCTCCACCATCCGTTTTGAGAATTTTGAGCTTCCGGCCGCTTTGACGCTCCACCATGGATTTGAAACTCTTGAACACTCCAAATACCTCATCCTTTCTCTTGATAAGATAAGTCCAAAGCTTCCTACTAGAATCGTCAATAAACGTAACAAAATATCGATTGCCGCCATATGTCTCTACTTGCATTGGTCCACAAACATCGGAATACACCACCTCAAGTAAGTCTTTGGCTCTCCGACCCGCATCCTTGCTAAACACCTTCTTGTGTTGCTTAGATGTGACACATTCCTCACACAATTCTGTCGGAACACTAATATGTGGCAGCCCCGTTACCATTCCACTTTGTTGCAACATCTTAAGATCCCTAAAGTTAAGGTGACCAAGACGGTAATGCCATAGCCACTCCTCTCTACTTGCCGCGGTAGCTAAACAACGATGCTCCATAACCTTTAACTCAACCTTAAAAGTTCTGTTGGCAGCCATCGGTGCTTTTAGAATCAACACACCATTTGAATCTAAAACGCGTAACATCTTATTCTCCAATCGAATTAAGTACCCTCTTTCAAGCAATTGGCCAATGCTTAAAAGATTGCACTTAATTCCCGGTATGTACAAGACATCTTTGATCCTCGACTGTCCTCCATTCTTCCTTCCGATCAAAACATCTCCTACCCCTTCGGCGCTTAAAGTAGTGTCGTCGGCAAACTTGACTTTACTCTTTGTCGCTTGATTGATTTGCACAAACCAATCCTTTCGACCCGTCATATGTGTTGAACAACCGGAATCCAAGTACCATTCATCTTTAATTTGGACTCCCTCACGCACGGTAACTAATGCATTTCGATCCGAACATATTTTTTCGCCACTTTCCAAAACAGTACAGCTGCTGTCCCACACACTATCATCACAGTAGCTGCTGCCCGGAACATCAACAATGCCATAATTCTCTTCCGTAATCATCACAAGAAGGGTATCTTCATCATCTACCTCTTCCCTAGCAACCTTCGCCTCATCCGCATCCTTTTCCTTGCGTTTTGAGCGACATTCTTTCGCAAAATGCCCAAGCTTTTGACAATTATAACACTTCACAGAACTTTTGTCAAACGGTTTGTGGGCGCTTTGATTACCATCTTTGGAGCTTCCTTCACCCTTTGAATTTTGTGGATCTTTTCCACCAAAATTCTTCTTATTTTTTGAAGTCCACTTCCCTTTCGATCTCTTGTTCTTCTCATGTAAACGCGCTTGCAAAGCGATCTCCGCTTTGGCTTTGTCGGCACTTCTCTCATCCATCCTTTGTTCATGCGCCTCTAACGAACTTTGCAACTCATCTTTACACAAAGTTGTTAGATCCTTTGACTCCTCAATAGCCACAACAATGTTATCGAAACGTGATGTTAACGAACGCAACACTTTCGATACAACATTCTGCTCGAGGATCGTTTCGCCACATGACTTGATTTGGTTGACTAACCGGGTAATGCGCGTGATGTAATCGTTGATCGTTTCTTTGTCCTCCATTTGCGTTAACTCGAATTGACGTTTGTAAGTTTGTAACCTTACCACCTTCGCTTTGACGGCACCGGCATACGCTTTCTCCAAGATTTCCCATGCTTGTTTTGCGGATTCACAATCACCAACCTTCTCGAAATTGTCGTTATCAACACACGAATGAATCAAGAATAGAGCTTTGTAATCCTTCTTCTTTTCTTCCTTGTGTGTAGCCCTACGAGCATCGGTAGCATCTGCCTCTAATGGTGTGACTCCATTGATGACGATCTCAAGAACCTCTTGATAACCAAACAGAACCTTCATTTGTTTCGCCCATTTGTCGTAGTTCTTCGAATCAAGAATTAGGAGATTGGTGGGAATTCGATCATTGGAAACGGTAGCCATTGTTGGTGTTGCAGCGGATTGGGATCAATAACCAATGCTCTTGATGCCAAATGTTAGAACAAGCACAAAACCTTGTGTGTGAATCAATGGAGATGATGGATAATTTTGGTGAAATTAGAGGATTGGGGAAGATCAAGTTTAGAGAGAATAGAGATTAATTGAGAGGGTAAAAAATCATATGGCATTAATTCCATTCAACATGTTACAAAATGTATATATAGTGCCTGCTAACACTAAACAAAGTAACAAAACAAAAGCTAAACAAAACAGCCTAAAAACAGAAATAATTTTTTCGGTTTTTCCTGCAGCATACTGGCAGCTTTTCCAAAATAGCTTCTCAAATAAGCTATTCTCCAAAAACACTTCAAAACCAATTACACTGCATTTGACTTATTCTAATCATACAACAATCAATAAATCATATTATAAATCATTATCTAGGCACTAAAATTTCTCAACTTTCAACAGAAAAATTACATTTTCTACATAAAAATTATAAAAGAATTTTCAAAATTATTTTATCTAATTCTTGCAGTGAAGACTCTATTGTACCAAACGGAATGAAGTATCATATGAAATATATCATACTTAACAGGACTCCTATGCCAAAGAAAATGCTGTTGCACTTTCTTCACTCTCAACTGCATTTGAAGATACCTCTTTTTTGGAATGGAAACAAGAATACTCTTCAAATTTGGAATGTCCTTCTCCAAAACAAATACAGCAAATGATTCCCAATTCAAAACCTCGAAAAAAGGCGGCACGAAATTGTCCGATATAATAACCGGAACACATTCGTAGACAATAGCCTCGACAACTCTTGGACTGTTAACTTCATAACCCTTTGGACAAATACAATACCTGCTACTTTTCATGTACTGGATGTAGTTTCTGTTTCCTTTTGACTTTGGCATCATACCGAAGATTTTCATGTCAGGATCTTTGTTTTCCCAGTGCTGTAGAAGAACCGGACGGACGTAACCGTGCATACCGCCTGCGAAAAAGGCGAGAGTTTTTCTCCTTGAAAGTGGTTTTCCACCAAGGTCTCTGGTCGGATTCTGAGCATTGCGGACGTATGTTTCGGGAAGTGACACGTCTTTCCCTAACATGAAACCTTCTTTGACATCGGCATTGCATAGAGATCTTATGCACTTTGCCATACGCTGCTTTGTTTCTGAAGGTGCCTGCATAATGCCGTCCAAAGATGGTGACTGATGGATCAATTTAGTTTCATAAATTGTAGGTGCCGTGTAATTTCATCTCAAAATTTTCAATTTATCAGCTATCAGCTATCAAAATTATCAGTCATCAGGTATAAACTATCAGCTATCGGCTATCAACTATTTTTACCAAACAGAGTCTTAACAAATTGACACAGTAAAGACTTATCCATTGAATTGATAAAAACATACCCAATCATGGCAAGCAACAAGAAAATGATCAGCACCACCCGTTCTGTTCCAGAACCGATGCTTTCCAGCAATCGTGTCTACATAGTTATTCAGATACTGCCTTAGATTCCTGTGACTATGTGAGTTCTGATCGTACAATGTTTCCTCAAGCATTCGAGAACTGAAAGGCAAGTAAAACAGGTGTGCCTTCTTCGCGTCTTTAGTAAGAAATGCTTTATTAGCTTCCATCAGCCTCATGAACCACCCCTCAGAAGCATAAATTCCCAACAGATATGGCGAATGCATTATCGGCTTAGACCCTTCTCTGTATACATACACTTTGAGAGTCTTTTCCATCAATTCATAGCTCCTGAAAATTAGACGGTTAATAAGAAGATGAAAAGAAAATCTAGTTCACATATCATAACAATGAGACAATACCTCTTAAACATGGAAACATTGCGGAAAAGGGGAGCATAAAGGTTTCCAAGATCAGTTACAACGGGTGCATTTTCAATCTCGAATCTAGCTTGTAGTAGCTCTTGATCAACCTCTGAAGACCATCTTGGCCTCTAAACACAAGTTATCAATATAAGAAAAGAACACAAGAAAATGCAATATTCATAAAACAAATAAGCAAATCACCCAAATTACATTAACTAGTATACCATGGATCGATACGAAGCATAGTTTTGAAGCAATAACTTGTCCATTTCGGAAATCGACATCGTCTCTAGAACTTTTACAGGAAAACTTGTGATAGAAGACTGGTTGCTGGTAATTACATTGACAACATCATCTTGTAATGGCTTGAACCTCTCATCATTCATAGAATCAGCAATTTCAGAATCATTTGATAGCATTTTAGTTGGCGCAATTGCAGGGTTAGGAGTTAAATATGTTGGCACAATCGCAGGAGCAGGACTAGGAGAAGGAGAATTATTGAACTCTCTTGTCAAATTCACACCTATAACAACAGGTCTTGACACAGTGTCATTTTTCTCATACAGCCTAGTTTCATTAACTTTCTCAAAAGGATGTTGTGAATATGTTTGATTCAGGGTAACATTGTCAAATATTTCAGATGCAGAAGGTGAATCGGCAGGTTGATGATGAATTATACTAGTATTTGATAATGTTGATGTTTTTTCACTAGAGAATTTAGAGGGTTGTGCTAGAATGTTAGTACCATAAGGAAGCTCAAAATATTGGAATGCTAGAACGAGTGCAAAGGTAATGATTATAATAAGGCATAAGAGTTTCTTTCTTTCAAGATGAATCAAGGAGAAAACTTGTTGACCCATTTGAACAATCATGAGTTGACTTGATATATGAACTCTGCATAATCATAAAACCAGATCCAGTAAAAACTAAGAAATAGACAAATTGTTAACTTATGGCGTTTCAGTTAATTACATGCATCAAAAACTAGTTGAAGATAGAAATAGAAAGTGGAAGATAAATGGTGAAGGTGAGTCAAGAACTAACTAACTACCTGGTACTTACAAATCCGACATAGGAGAATGGAAGCAAGACAGAACACAAACGTTGTTGTTGTTCGGAACTTACAGTGATTCCATCACCACCCGATTTCACGGCTTTCCTCTCTCTCTAGAAGGACAGTGAATATATTTATGTATTTTTTTTTTTGTTTAGAAAAAAAAAAGGGAATGATGTAAATAACTTTAGAAGCTGTCATTGAGCTATTCTTCAAGAAAGTTGACAAAATAATTAATTACTTATGACATTTATAAATCATAATTGTTTATGTTGATCATATCATTCATAATTGTGATTTTTTTTACCTCTCTACCATTGTGCCACAGACTTTTAAAATTATATACCGTAATGTCACTTTTTCTTTAAGGGTTCGTTCATTTCGGTGAAACCCAAAAAACAATTCAAAGGTTCGCCCTTGGACGAACACATGCTTGGGTTAATTTTTTTTCTGTTTTCTTTTTTAAATGGTTTAATTGATATACTAATTTATATAAAATAATATTAATTAGTTATTTAATATTATAAAATAATTAAAATCATTTTAAAAATTATTTAATTAATGTTTTTAATAAAATAAAATATTTTAACTTTTTTTTTTGTTTTTATTTATAATACAATAAAAGAATAAAATAATACACTAATTTATTAATTGTTGAAATTGACTAGTAGTAAATTTCAGGAGTATTTTTTTTTGGGGAGTGGGGGGTGGGGGGTGATTCAATAAAATGTGAGTCAGTATAGCATCTGGTATTGAATTTTGTGCGAAATCCCCTTTCAAACTGTTCTTCTGAAAAAAATGGTGTATTGTCGGATGATAAATTTTCGTCTTGGTTCGATAGACCTCCGTCCATAGCTTGTTGCATGTCGTCAACAGACAAGTTGACATATTAAACATATGGTCGTCAATTAGTTCAAAGTTGGGGAGTGATTGTGTCGTAGGTATGTATGTTTGTGGCTCAATCGGTTCAATAGGTGGACGATAGACATCTTCATTGGATTGCAAGAGTGAAAGGGTAAATGATGGATGTTGTGGTTGAGAGGATGATAGGTTAAATGTTAATGGTTGAGATTGGGAGTATGAAAAGTCGTAGTTAGGTTGAGAGGATGATGGGTTGATGGTATGTTGTTGAGAGTGCGAGTGTGAAAAGTCAAAGTTTGGTTGAGAAATTGGAGAGTATTGAAAGGATGGTAGAAATGTGGTTTATTGTTGATGGTAGTAGATGCTTGTTAGAGATACTAGAGTGCGAGCAGTTGGTTGTTGGGATGAGGCGGCATAGAAAACATGTTGTTGTGTGGTTTGGGTGTGATGGTATGTTTGTTGGGGGAACGAGGATGTTTGGGGTTGAAAAGGTGATGGGTGTGTATGGGGAATGTGTTGATGTATAGGTGGCGTGTTGATTTGTTGTTTTAAATATGAGGCATATTGACGTGAGTCGTTTAAAAACCGTGGTTGGGAGGGAAAGATTAATGAGATATTTCTAAACCAATTAATATATTCCTCGCTATTGAATTGTCCATTTAAACGGTTCCCATTCAAAACCAAACGTCTTTTATTATTCCATTCCTCGTTCTCTTGTTGGTTGACTGTAATCCAATGGACACTCCGTGTGGATTGCATTTCTATATTGTGATGTTCCCTCAGACATCTTGGTTGAGAAGAGATTTCTTGTTCAAACCCAAACATAAATTTTACCTGATCCGATTGATGCATCTCAACAACATGAAAATATATAATCGAATTCGCCACACTTCACACACGTCTATCAGCACGAACAATTGTTGGATATTCAGGGTATGGCCTCCATTTAAAATGTTACACAAAGTGTAGTCATTAGAGTCCAAATACACATCCATTTTAATGAGATAGTTATAGTATGGTTACATTACTTACTTCACCTGGAACCATGTGATCAAATGCATCTCGATATTCATAAGCAGTGGGATTAACTGCGTACTCCTACCTCTTTGAGCAAACCTTGCATTTTCAAAATAAACAAATATCATAAATTAAATGCACACGTGTATAGAACATTGTGTATAAAACATGACAATTATAAAATAAGTTTACCTGAATGCATATGGATATACCGGTACTGGGAGACTAATGGGAGAAATTAACGGTATATACCAAAATGCTCAAATGTTTGGGAGGAGTACATATCTACCAATACTTTTTAATCCTTTATTTTACGCTTTGCACATACCTCTAAATAGGGTAGCCAAACAAGTTGAATCTCAACTATAATTATTGCATGCTTCTAAATTACCAACTAAAAGTATCCAATAAAAATGCATTAAGTTTTTACTCTTGTTAGGAAATAAAAAACAAGAAATAAGAAGTAAAATATATATTTTGGAATGAAGGATATTTTCCTCTTCCGTTGGTGGATTCCGGTTTTTCAGATATGCTAACATCCCTTCTAACGATGTTATTTTTACTGGATTCTTGTTTCTATCTTCTCTGGATGGTTCCACACCCAAGTGTTCCATATAAACATTTCTACCTACTTGAGTAGGACCATTAACAATATCACCATCTATACAAAGATCAAATAACACACATCCATCTTCCAAAGTGATGGTACATTCACCGGTTGAAAAATGAAATGTATGCGTTTCCGGTCTCCACCATTCTAACAGAGCAACCACAAGCTTAGAATAAACTCTTTTGGTATGAATTTGTGAAACTTCGCCAAATCCGACTAGATTCAAATACGGAATAATTACTGCACTTGGTGGCTCAAGACAATGAGAGTGGAGTCTAAACTGAGTGGTTTCTTCCTGTTGAAAAAAATTGTTAAGATCAACGAATAAAAACTTGGAAAAATACAAATTCATATTATTTAAAAACTTATGAATTTGATGATATTTGTTGGTGTTCCACGGTGGTTTTCTCCCATCGGCAATAATGCTTCCATTGAGATTGTTTAATAGTACTTACTACTTGAACAATTTAACAGATATGAAATATAAGATAGATGGTTTAATGTGTGATGAAAACTACATTCCAGGGAACATATTTATACACAACAAAAAATATTTGCATGCAATTATCCATTGTGTAAAGCCAAGCCATGCAACTATTTACACACTGCTCTATTTTCTCCCATCCACACCTATTTTCATAATGTAGAGATGAGACCTCTCACTGCTCCAATAGCTGTTCACCCTTCCCTTGGACGATCCGTTGAAGCACACGTTATTGTTTGTCTAACCCACGGACGAACTGTACATGCATGCAGCAGGGAATCGTCCTTGTCTTGGACGATCATGTAAGACATACAACAGGGAATTGTCCTTTCCTTGAACGACCCATAGTTTTTGTTTTTTGCTTCCACGGATATATATATATATATATATATATATATATATATATATATATATATATATATATATATATATATATATATATATATATATATATATATATATATATTCAATTTTCCCTTCATATTCATCCAAACATTAACAACATCAATAGTTGTGTACACAAAAAAAAACCTTATAACCTCTCTAACATGGCTCAAAGAAATATCATTGTAACCATGCACTACAATGGTTCTATTTTCAATGATATTTCTATCGGCTTCTCATTTATCAATATAGATATAATGTGCTTCAAAATACATATCAATTCTGATTTGTTTCACTTGAAAGAGCGCATTGAAAAAATTACAATGGTTTGTACTATAAACTATCTATCGACTTCCATTATTTAATGGACAATGGCGTATTTTACGTAATGAAACAACTAGAAGACGACGATGGCGTGAACATGATGTTTCAGTGTCACATTATATTTGCTCAACTAGACTCTATTGAGCTTTATTTCCGTCTCTTTGATGTCGAAGCATATCCAGTTCAAGAGTCGCAGTCCCATCAGTATGGATTGAATAAAACTACTGATAATGAACTAACACAAAACAACGAACCTTTCATACTAAATGAAGAGGTTGGTGAATACAGTGAAGATGAAATCCATGAGGTCCATTGTGAAGATTTGTTTGGTGATTTGGATGATGATGACGACGAGGCCATGCCTTCCCATACAACAAATGTTCAACCGATGAATTTGTACAATCCACCTGCTCACATGAGAAATGTATGTTTGGATGCTCAACCGACTTTTGTGTTTGGAAATTTGTGTCCAAACCACATTGGTGACGAGCTAGAGGTAGGAATGAAGTTTGAAAATAAGGAAGCATGTGTCGATGCGTTATAACACTGACATATAACCAATAGTCTTGACTATTGGGTGTACAAATCAGATGGTGCAAGGTATATAATCAAATGTAGAAATCGACCATGCTTATTCAAATGTAGAGCTTCGTTGCGTAAGAAGAACACAAAATAGAAAATTGGTAAGCTACGCGGACCACATACTTTCACAACATCTTCTATGACACAAGACCATAGAAATTTGTCTTCGGAAGTGGTAAGTCAAAGCACCATGGAGCTTATTAACAGTGGATCTTCACTTAAAGTAAAGGTAATCATCGCCCATGTTGTTGGAAAATTTGGGTACATAATATCATACAGGAAAACGTGGATTGTGAAGTTGAAGGCCATAGGATCACTATATGGAAACTGGGAGACGTCCTACAATGACCTTCCGCAGTGGTTGTTGATTATGAAAACCTATCTCCCAGGTACCGTTATAGATTTGCAAACACTGCCTGCATTTACAAACAAAGTAACACAATTGGGTGACAGGAGGATCTTCCATCGTCTCTTTGGGCATTTCAACCGTGTATTCAAGGTTTTGCCTATTTCAATCCTATTGTGCAGGTTGACGGAACATGGTTGTATGGAAAGTATAGAGGGACTTTGTTGATGGTTGTGGCACAGGATGGGAACGATAACATTTTCCCAATCGCTTTTGCATTAGTTTAAGGTGAGACAAAGGATGGTTGGAGTTTCTTTCTGAGGAATTTGAGAAAGCACGTTACACCCCAGGCCAACTTGTGTCTAATATCTGATATACATGCATCAATTAAGAGTGCATATGATCATCATGAAAATGGATGGAAACATCCCCCATCTTCACATGTGTACTGCATAAGACACATGGCGTAAAACTTCCAGCGAGAGATTAAAGACAAGAAACTACGCAAAAAAATTATCAACATGGGTAAGAATCTACATTTAGTATTACTACATATAGTTTAAGATATTGGTATATTTTTCTGAACATTTATATTACAAGATATGCGTTGACGGAGGCGAAATTTAATTATTAACGAGGCGAGATTCGAAGAGAAAATAGAGAGGCTATTAGGTGGATAAACAACATTCCTCGGGAGAAATGGGCAAGGGCGTATGACGGAGGACAACGATGAGGACACGTGAAAAATAATCTTGCAAAAGCAATGAACTCGGTACTGAAGGCTACCCGTAACCTTCCAATCACTGATTTGGTTCAGTCTGCATATTATTGATTGGGATCGTTGTTTGGTAAATAAGGTCATGAGTGGACAAAGTTGTTGGCATCTGGTCAAACATTCACAGAAACCTGCAACAAGGGATTGGCACAAGAAGTGTGTAAAGCTAGCATTCATAATATCATGCAATTTGACCGTGAGAGATTCTATTTCATGGTGGCCGAAAGAATTAACCAAAATGATGGTCAACCATTAGGTATTTTCAGTGTTGATCTCAAGAAGCGGTTGTACAATTGTGGAAAATTTCAAACTTTTCATTTGCCTTGCTCCCATGCTATCACAACATATGCTAGTATATGACAAGACCACACCATTCACATACCATAAGTGTTCACCATTCTTAATGTTTTTAAAGTCTACCAGCAAAGCTTCCTTGGACTACCACATCAGGAAAACTGGCCATAATATGGAGGACTTACACTTTGTCATGACGAGACTATGCGAAGTAATAAGAAAGGTCACCCAAATAGTACTCGAATTAGAACTGAAATGGACGATGGTGAAAAAAAAAGAGGATGTGTGGGATATGTCGCGAAGTAGGCCATACACGTAGCAAATGTCCAAATGCAGTTGGCCCGTCTAATAGGCCATAGTGTTTTCATCAATATTTTAGCAATGTAATATCATGTCTTCATAATTCAATTTTCATTTCAATTTTAAAAAACAACATCTGGGTGAAACAACAACAGCAAACAACAACTTCATAACGACATAAAATAATCAGAAAATAACAATACGATAAACATATAAAACGACTCAAGACCTCAACAGATTTAGGAGATTACAACCATTAACACAATACGGGTAGAACAACAACAGCAAACAACAACTTCATAATGACATAAAATAATTAGGAAAAAAACAACATGATAAAAAGATAAAATGACTCAAGACCTCAACAAATCTAGGAGATTACAACCATCAACACAATATCCGCTGGTGCTAGCATCATCATAAGGACACAAGCGTCATTGTGCACATTTCTCCAAGATGGAGTTACTCCATTTGGGCCTGACACTATGATTTGCCTCTCAATTTTTCTGATCTTTTCACCTTCAAGAATGTCTCCTTCTAACCAACAGTTCAATTTCCTCTGTAAATGGTCGAAGGTCTGTTGCGTGTTCTAAAGCAGTACCTTCATCAGAGACTTCGTTGCTGAAAAATAAGTTGAACATCTTTTTTCATAAATGGAAACGTTGAAAGCGGTTCTTCTGGCCCCGATGAAGGACACCATTGTCTCAAGAATGCAGGCATATTTTAGAGTGAGTTTGGTGGTAACTGGTGTGAGTAACAAATGAGCAAATAATCCTATTTATAGTAAACTAAAAATTAATAAAATATTATTCTGCTCGCTCATTGGATGAACGGATCTGAAATACTTTGTTCAATCTGTTGTAGTTTCGCACTTTATTTATAATTGCTTGACCGATGAATAGACTAACATCTAAGTAGAAATAATAAAATAATATGAAATAAAATTTATAAGAAAAAAAATTATTTAAAATACTTTTTATATTAAAATATTATTTAATTAATTTTTAAAAAAATTCTAATTATTTTTTAATATTCAAAACTTATTTTAATTAATTTATATTAATTAAAATATACATTATAACATTTAAATATTGAAAAAACGAAGAAAAAAAATCTGAACATGTATGGGGTCGTCCAATGCATGGACGAACCATTGAATAACAAAAATTCTAACACCCATTCGTCTAACCAAGAGACGAATCGTTAGAGAAGATATGGTATTCTAGAAAAAATTTCCAAAATGTGACATTAGTATATTTCAAAAACATGACATAGAGGTAAAAAAATCTATAATTGTTCTCTTTTCACCACACAATATTTATAAAAAGAAATTAATAGTACAGTAGATAAATAGGAGTAAATAAATAGTAAAATGTTGGTGTTGGAGATTGTATTATAATAGAGCACGTGAAAAAGAAGATGCCGTGCCGTGTATGAGTTTCTTTTGAGCGGTCTTAGAATTTGATCGGTAGCACTGGGGACCAGATTGTGTCAGGTTAAAAGAAACTCCAACGAAATCTCAACCGTTAGTTTTTCTCAACTAGTACATATTAAAATATTAATTAAAAATAATTGAAAGTGATAATTTTAACTGATCCGAATAAATCATATTCCTTCTATTAGATTAATTAGTATACAATGTTAGTGTAAAATTTTTTTATACAATCAATGTATTGCAATTATTTAAAGATACTATTTTTTAAATAATTAAAATAAAAAATATATATTATTAAAATTTTAACAACCACGATTAATTGATATGATTAATTGATAGTATAAGATTTTTATTTTATTTTATCGGTGCATATTAATTAAACACTATTTTAAATAAATATATTTAAAAAAATTTATATGGATTAAAAA